GTCAGTAAGGTGTTGGTATGGTCGGTGTCAGAACGGGTCAGTGTTGGTTCGGTCAGTGTCAGTACAGTCAGTGGTGGTTCGGTCAGTGTCAGTACGGGTCAGTTCTTCAGGTGCTTTTCCATTGACGTTCCAGTCCGGTTCCAGTGGGTGTGTTTTGGGCAGTTGGTGGAGGTGGGTTTTTTTTTTTTGTTTGTTTTTTTTTTTAAGTTGATGCACAAAATGAGAGATGGAAACACATTTGCCAAATAAGTTTTGAAATTTTTAAAAAATTGCTAAAAATTCAAATTAAAGTTGGATGGAAACATGACCGATGTCACTGCTACGATTGAAAAAATGGCGCCTCGAGTTGCGGCTCAGATGCAACCAGTGACTCCACCCCCTAGCCAATCAGTGACAAACTGTGTTCTGACGTCGCCTTTTGGTGTCAACTGGGACCACTTGGAACCACAACAAAGTAGGTACTAAAAAAAGGGCTGGTTCCATGAATCTGGCCTAATGGAAAAGGCCTGGAACCGTACCGACACTACACTAAGTGGCACTAGTGGAAAAGGGTCAGCAACCATGTGAATCAGTCCTCACGTTGGCCCGTTAAGGAGCTCCATGACAGAAAGAAACTGTAGCTTCATTTCATGTTTCCTGAACAAGATACGGCCAACAGGATCTGGATCGGGACTCTGCAGCGGCTGGGTGTACTTACTGGTGCAGGCCACAGACGGTGGGTCGGAGAGCGCTCGGTAGTAGCCGTCTTCACAGTCACAGCGCCACGAGCCCTCCCTGTCAGTGAAGCTGTGTGCAGGACAGCGAGAGCACTGCAGGTCCTGAGAGGAAGACTTGTAGAAACCTCGACCGCACGCTGTGGACAGGAAGTGACATCACTCCATCAGATATCTACAGAAAAATACTTTTAGCATTTCTAAACACAAAAACTATGACATGGTCTCATTTATTTCTATCCTCTACCCACTGAGATTTAAATAAAGTGATTAAACTGATCGGGATTACAAAAACAACAACAACAACAACAATAAAGGTACAGGACTTAGATAATTAAATCACTTTGTCTCTGATGGTCTGATCTGACACTCRTGACCTTTGACCCCAGTGTTCATCTCTTTGTGGAAGTTATTTTGGACTCTTTGGTGGATATGCATCTCTTTATCAGTCTATCAGCCTCCTGTGCTCTGTGTGGTTACACACCAGGTCATCACACAGCCCTGTGACTACCTGTCACAGCCAGCTCAGGTTCAGTCTGTTCCTTTTAGTCAAAGACTGTTTTATTACTTTATTTTTCTATTAAATTAAAGTTTGTCCACATCAGTAAGTCTGATGAAGACCTTCATCTGGACCAAGGAGGTCTTAGTGATGTCCATCAGCCTGGAGGTGACCCTCAGTCTGATGACCTCATGTCCTCCAGCACCAGTAAACATATTAAAAAGCTGAGTCAGCACCTCCTCATGTTGGACGATCAAATCATTGGTTCTGATGTGAGAAACTCCGAAGATTTCAGGGCTGATAGCAAAATGATAACATTTTTACAAAAGTCTGGAGTTCTGCCAGCGTTTCTGTCTGCAGGGTCCTGTTTGGGCCCGGTTCAAACAGGATCCGATCCATTCGTCATACAGATTACTAAATGTCTCCAGGTGATGTGAGGTCTGTGCAAAGAGAGGCTGAGAAAGTCCCAGCTGATCGTAAAGAGGACAAGACAGAACAAACCACCGGTGCCTGCTCTGATCCAAACGGGCTTCAGAAAAATGCTGAGTCACCAAAACCACAAGACAGATTCTGCTTTAGTGTCAGCAGAGGGTTCTGACTCATGAAGAACAGAACTTATGTGAGACAACATGGATCATTGGACCTTTGACCCAGAAGGTGACCAGATTGACCTGCAACTTTAGTGAAAACCATTGGACCTTAGAGGTCCAGATACAGGTTCAGATACAGGTGCAGATACAGGTTCAGATACAGGTCCAGATACAGGTTCAGAAACAGGTCCAGATACAGGTCCAGAAACAGGTCCAGATACAGGTCCAGAAACAGGTCCAGATACAGGTCCAGAAACAGGTCCAGAT